TGCTGAATGTTTTCAGTCTCATGTATGTTCTCCCTGGCATCTGATGGATAGGACATTATTTTTTTTAATTCGAAGCGAATTTTAGGTCATCTCATTGTGCTTGTTGTAGGTAAGTTCACAATATCTTCAATAACTTCCTGTGCGAGTGCACTGAAAATTCATTCTATTCAGTTAAATCAGGGGATTATATTGTGTTCTGTGCGTAGCATGTGCAAAATTCCCATTTCTAATTTCGAGGCTTAAACATTACAAGGTTTTGTCGATGTGGTATTAGACTTGTAATTATGGTGGCATTTAGCTTTATCAGTGTGTGCAAGTATGTTTATTAGGGAAGGGGACTGAGGTCAGAGGATGAGCAGAGAGGGATTCTTGTGAGACCTCCTTATCCCTGTTCGTATTAGTAAGAGGCCTGTATTGTACGTAGATTATAAATGGGGCAGGTAACTTTCAGAAAGCATAAAGAACATTGTTAAGATCACACACCTTGCAGGGACTCATCGCTTAGAATACACAGGAAGTGTTAAGAAGCAGAGAAAAATGAGGCATGGTGTGGAAAAGTGTTGATGGTGATCAGTCAGAGATACACACACGAGGGAGGAAAAAGGGTTCAGCTGTTCACTTCTGTTTCACCCAGCAGGCAGCATGAGGCTGCACACATCATAGGTGTTCAGGAACTATTTGGGGAGTGAATGGTTGACCCAGAATGATCAAACGAAGACCCACGAGAATATAAAGACAATCATAGAAATCCTACTGGAACTCTCCCTTTAAGTTTAAAAAAAAAAAAAAAGCACTACACAGGAGGAAAGAGTATTTAGAAGTCAAAGTATATCAATATAATCAAAGGTGAAAACAGAACCCATATATTGATCAATTAAGGGACATGCTACAGAGCTGCTCCTCCTGGTCTGATAGCTCTTTCACTCAAGACCTGTGGGTCTATTTCTCTCTACTTTTTTCCTACCACTGGATAAGGTGTGCATGATTATTTAAGTTTTGAAAAGACTCTACCAACAGGTAAGTGAAAGAGACTTGAGTCTATATAATGACATCACATTAGCACATATTTTTGAATTCTACCTGTTAAAGGAAAATTACAACAAATCTTGTTTTGTAGATTTTTATTGCCATTTTTTTATTTGTGATTCTAGAATTGGGCGGCAGTCTGGACCAAAAATGGTTCAGAACGCTCTATCTCACCACATGTGCAGGTTATATTTATTGTCAGAATAAAGGAAGTGATATACAGAGAACGGAAGTGAAGTATAGAGACGGCTCAATTGGTTACAGCTGGGGTCTTATTTGGACGTAATTTCAACAGCTGAAGGCCTGTGATTGGTGGAGGCTCAGCTATTTGTTCCCAAGTTAGGTTTTCAGTTTGTTTAGGTACTGAGTTAGATTGCAGTTAGGAACTCTCACGGAGGCCTCCTTGGGCCAATTTTAGTTTGATTTGACATACCAAAAGAGCATGACTCCAAAGCACCTCATAGCTCAGTGATTAACCAAAAAGACTTTTGCAGTTTCCTATTCAAGTAGCCCGAATGGGGTTAATAACAGAACCTACTCACAGGCCTGCAGCGAGAGCCTCACGTGTGTAGACGTGTTGTTGTTGTTGTTATTAACAAGGTGAGGGATTTCTATTCTCCATCGTACGTAGACTTTTGCCACAATGCAGTTAATTCACTTCACTTTGTTGAAAACTGAGATATATTTCTCTGAGACAAAGATGGCATGTTCTTCTAGGTAGTTTGGGCAGTTAACACATAATATTGGTATCTAATTAATTAGATGCATATATTGAAATAAACATTAAGTAAACAAAATAGTGGATTTTCAATAAGAGATACAAGGCTGGTGAGTTAGAGTCATAAGATTGCAATTTTGTAGAGTAAATACACAAAGAGATTTTTCAGAGGAACAACAGACTTCCCCATTGCAGTCAGTAGCCTGCTGGCAATTAGGACAGATTGACTATGAGCCTCTTGAGGTGGATCAGAACTGGAAAAACATGTTGGCGTCTGTCCAGAAGTGATTGTTTTCTTCCATTTAAGGGGAAAGGACAAAGCCAAAAATGAGAATGCTAGTAAATGCGGAAGCCTGTATTTCTACAAAGTAACCTAAGTTTAATAAAGCTCCAAAAAGTAGTCATAAATTTTTAAGTTTTAGCCTTTAAGCAAAAATTTAATAACCTTTGTTAATTGGGAAAAAAAAAGACAATATATTTGGTCCTTTTTTCTTCATCGTTTCTGTATAATTAACTGTGTGCATATACACTATAATGCTAGAAAGCTAATGTACCACTTCAGGGAAGGAATAAAATAATCATCTCACTCCACCTTTCTTACCTTGATTCATAGCTCAAATATTTCTATTCTTGGAACATTACTGCAGCTTTGGTACTAAGAAAATTGCTAGCAGAGGAAGAATGATTCTGCAGCCGTTCGTCCTTCTCAATTTTTGCGCCGTCCCATTGTCTAACTCTGCAATCCCGCCATCTAGTGTTCAAATGTTCTCAATACTACAGCTCATAAAACGCTTCACTTCATTAAAAGCAAAATAATATGGGAAGTAACAAGCGAGTTACCCAAAAAGCGCTCTCTTGGGGAGAGTCAATGTAATGAATAGACAGGCCAATGAAACTCTAAAACATATTTCTTGTTAAATATGTTTCATTGTCTCATTTATTTATTGCGTTTATTCATAAATATTTGACATGTTCTATTTATATAGTCCTATAAATTATACATGACATAGTGTGTATGTTGAAATATATACTTATTTATTTTACATTTTTATTTTTATATTCTTCTGTCTCTGTACTTACCTATAACTAACAAAATCGTTATCTCTGAAGACAAACAAACCCAACCCAGTTGTGATGGTGGACTGGGTTAGAGGGGAATCAAAAGGTGGAAATAGTTGATTGGAATATTTCATTGCACTGCAAATCCCAGCCCAGGCTGTGGTTTCATTACTGCTAGTGACCATACCTTCAAGGGTCAGATGCTTTACTACATAGCAAGAAAAACACAGAGAGCTTTGGTACACATGAAATAGAATGATTTGCCAGAAAACAAACAACAACAACAACAACAAAACTAGTGTCTTCATTGTCTTACCATTGGGATTATTTTAAGTCTATCTTTAAAAAACATTGGAAACTATTTTTAGGAATTAATGAGAATTTTTAATTAATGGCTTCAGTCTTCAAGATGTCCTGGAGACATGATTTTTATTTTCTTTATAAGCCTTTAAAATGCCCTCTTCTATATTGTCTATCAGTTCAAAATTTTAAAAAGAAAACTGTATTTATTGAATTACCAAAAGAATACATTTAATTAGTTAAAATAAGCTCTGTCAGATCATCTCCATCATTTAAACATCTGCAAAATACTTGACAAAATGCCTATTCTGGACTCCAGTGCCAAGGTGGAAAACCTCAGCCCTTGCCCAGAGGCGACGCTGCCCACGCTCAAACCTCATTCACTCCCACTCTGGGCTTTGGCCGTCCCAGCTTTTTGTCAGTTCTTCAAGGACACAGGCTTCCCCCGACTTGAGGCTCTGTTTTCCTGCCCTGCGTTAATCAGGAATGCCTTCTGCCCTTGACACCCTTCAGATCTTGGCGAACGCACCATTTCCTCAGGGAAGCCCTCCGAACCCTGCATTAGTCCTCTCTTGGAATTAGATGGCACTCAATAATTTTCCTTATTACCACTCACCAAAGTTTGTAATTACATGCTTGTATTATTATCAGCTTAATGTCTGCTGCCCCCACTAGATTACAAGTCTTGAGCAGGCTAGAATAATATGGGTTTTTTTTACAACCCCTGAGGTTCTAGCCGCTGTATTTTCTATGATACCCAATACAGAGTACGTGTGCAGTGAACACCTGATGAAATCAACCCATGAGCCCAAAACTGAGGACTGAGAAGCCCATTGTTCCCGCCCACATAATTTTGTAAAAAGCCACCGTTGGAATAAGAGAATGTTCACTGAAGCAGGAAGTCCCCAGGCCTGCATCCCAGCTTCCCAAGACACACACGTCTCTGGGGACTTGTCACCGCAAGCAGCACAGGAGTGAGCTGTGTGTTCTCGCTCCTGAAAGAATCCCTGGGTCACTCACCGCCACTCGTCCTGATTCGGGGGAATTCACAGCCCTTTCCTGCTTCTGCTGCTTCTCCCCTGAAACACAAAAACAAAACAGCCCTCCCCCGAAGAACACTCTTCTTGTCTTTGCTGTCGTACATCTTCCTGGGCAAACAGGGAATAAGGGAATACAGAGGACAAAACGTAAATAAGTATTTCAGTAAATTTTCCCGCCACTCTGATATTCAGCAGAGGATAAAAATAAATTATGCACGTTATATAAAGGACGTGTTTTCATTGTTTATTTTCACAGCACTTCCCTTCTCTTTCTAGAAGACTCTAAGGATTCCCAACTTTCTTAGAATTTTAGGCAAGAAATTATGCTGTGAATCAATCATCTTCACAATGAGCTTTGCTTTAAAAGTGACAGGATGTCATACTAAGCTTCAAGTGTCTGTAACCGGTCACCTCTGTCTTCTCAAAGTCCAGCATTATGAGAGACAAAGTGAGGATTCAGAGACAATTAATTTTGACATTGAATACACACATACACACATACGTAGATGTGGCATTATTTTGGAAGTTGCATTACCGTATATATTAAGGTCCGGTATATTCTCATTGTTCTCCAAAATTAACACTTGGCTTACCATCAAATACACACAAAAGAAAAATGCTTGAATTTTAAAACCACACTGAGGATTCCAAGTACCCTTCTAAGCCCTTCTCCTCCCCACCTATGGTGGTTTATCTAACAGGTGCTACATAAGTGAGTGCTCCCTGGAAACCGGATTGACTCATTCAGTCGCCAACATGGATAAAATTCTGACTCTTAAACCTGTGTTTGATGAAAATATAAATAAAATAGTATGAAGTTCACTCCAAAGAACATCTTCACACTTCTATCTCCACAGCAACACAGATGTACACACAGTGGCATCGCTTCTTAAATTGTATCTCCGGGAACTTCCAGAACCAGTTATTCCTTACGCAAAGTATGAAGATTTTTTGGCGTGTGCCAAGCTGCTGAGCAAGGAGGAGGAAGCAGTAAGTTGCTGCATTTATTTCCCTATAAGCTTTTGTTTGAGGTTTTTGCCCGTGTTCTTCGTCTTTATTTTGCAAATTTCCTTTTGCTCTGTCCTTGGATTGTTTTCCACTGTTCTGGGTATTGACGTCACCACGTGGAGACTCTCCATACATACCACAAGTACTATTTTGGATCCCTTCTTTGATCGAAAAGAAGAAGATGGCAGAGCACATGCAGTCACCACTCCCTGCCACTGTGCCCCTTGAATGGTCAAATGTGGGGCTGTGTCAGGCCACGCAGTACGTAAAAAGTGGGCGCCTTGTTTCATAATTTCCTCCTCATTGTGTGCCCCCAGATCCCCTCAAACAATGGCCTGTGTACCAAATCCTACCTACTGCCTGTTTTTTTAAAACAGCTTTATTGAGATATAATTCATACACCATATAACCACCCATTTAAAGTGTGAAATTTGGTGCTTTTTGGTTTATTCTCTGAGTTATGCAACCATCACCAAAATTTAATTTTAGTATAATTGTAACGTTTTTGTTACCTCAAAACAAGCCCCGTACCCTCTTCCCATTCTCTTTCCCCAGCTCTTGGCAACTGCTGTTCTATTTGCTTCTTCTGGACATTTCATATAAATTGAATAATTTAATATATTGTTTTTTGTGACTGGCTTTTCTCACTGTTTTCAAGGTTTATCCATGCTGTTTCAGTATTTTATCCTTTTATTTCCAAATGATATTTCATTAACTGAACAGAACATTTGTTTTGTTTCCATTGTTTGGCTGTTATGGACAATGCTGCCATGAACAGCCACGTACAAAGTTTTACATGGACATATGCTTTTACTTTTGTTATGCATATGCCTAAAAAGGTAGAACTACAGGGCCATATGTAACTATATTTCCCAAAAAGACTCCATCATTTTAAATTCCTACCAGCAATGTGTAGAAGTTCCAGTTTCGCCACATCTTTGCCATCACTTGTTGTCTGTCTTTTCCGTCACAGCCATCCTGCTGTGAGTGAAGTGGTATCTCAGCGAGGTTCAATGGCATCTCCCTGATGGCTAATGAGGAACATCTTTTCATGCGCTTTGACTGTTGGTGTATTTTCTTTGGAGAAATATCTATTCAGATCATTTCCCATTTTAATTGTGTTGTCTTATTATTTATTGAGTTGAAAGAGTTTATGTAGTTTCCTTACAAGTCCCTTATCAAATTTATGATGTGCAGGTATTTGCTTCCATTCTGTGGGTTGTCTCTTCATTTTCCTGATGGTGTCCTTTGAAGCACAAAATTTTTTAATTTTGATGAAGTCCAATTTATCTGTTTTTCTTTTGTCACTTGTGCTTTTTGTGTCATGCCTAAGAAGCCTTCGCTTAACTCACGGTCATAAAGAATTACTCCTATATTTTCTTCTCAGGCTTTTATAGCTCCACCTCTTCCCTTTAGGTCTATGATCCGTTTTGAGTTCATTTTTGTTTATGGTGTGAAGAAAGGGATCAAATTCATTCTTTTGCATGTGGATAGCCAGTTGTCCCAGAATCATTTGTTAAAAGACAATCTTTCCCCCATTAGATTTTTTTAGCACTCGTGTCAAAAACTGCTCCCTATGTTTGTAATTGAAGTTTTATTCCATTCATTACATAATATCATCTGTGGCTACCTTTGCATTACAACCAAAGAGGCGAGTAGCCGAGACAGAGACCATATGTCCCATAAAGCCTAAAATGTTTACCGTTTTGACCTTTATAGGGAGAAGAAGAAATCAGATTATATTACCCATTGGCTTTTTTGGGCCATTTACATTTTAGAGGAAGTTCTACAATGAGAAGAACCAACGAAATTAGTCCATTGTGAAACTTCCAGAAAGATCAGGCTTTCCAACCATCCTCCCTCCCCAAATGATGGATCCCAGACACGAGTAGTCCTGAGGGACTTATTTGTTGTAGACATGTGTTTGTCTGTGTTCTGGGCATACTAAAAATGGGCAGGACCCTCACGACATCAAGGCTAATTTCTCGTTTCTAGTTATCTTATTATAAATGAGGCTGTCTTCCCTTGTCAATTCTGAAAAAATATTAAAAATGATAAATCGCTTCACTTAAATCTGTTTCTCCACAAATAGTACTTAGGGAGATATTTGAAATGCTTGTACATCTTTGAAAATATTTCTTAAACACTCACTAGGATGGTGGCAAGTATTCAGGACAGGATCCTCCACTGATAATACGTGAAACTAATTTTTTTAAAAAAACGCTATGGCCGTTTCCCACTTGCTTTCATGCCAAGGCCAACACACAGAAAGATAACATTTATTTTCTTCTTTGTCCTCAGGGTGTTAAGGAATTAGCAAAGCAGGTGAAGAGTTTGCCAGCGGTCAATTACAACCTCCTCAAGTATATTTGCAGGTAAGAAATCTCCCAAAGACAAAACTGAACAAAACAAGACTATATTTAGCCTGACACTAATGTATGTTTGACAACGAATAAAATCACTTAAATGCTCCGAGCTCCACTGTTGGCCTCTATAAAATTAAAAGAGTGGACAAGATGATCTTAAAGGTTTCTTCGAGCACTAAAATTGCTTGATTTTGTCATTTGGTGTTTCTGAAATCTCTCTTGCCTCTACACATTAAAGATGTATGGCTTTAAACTTCCATCAGAGTTGTTCGTACCATTTAGGGAGCGGCACTGTTTAGGCAAAGGACCACGTGCGTCGGCGTGAGAAAGGTCTCCATGGAGCTCAGGCCCCACCACTGACTGCTTACGTGTCGTTATGCAGTGTTCTTATTCCCTCTGAGTCTCAGCGTCCTAACCGGTAAAATGGTAGCGAAAACACCTATTTCACACAGTTGTTTTAAAAATTGAATTATGTTTTTAAATGATTAATATCTAGTAAGTGTTCAATAAATATTATTTTATTTCCATTTGTCTCTCATCTCAAGACTCAGCAAAAGACATTTGTAATTAAATCCTGTTAAAACAGTAATTGTACCTGGTAAAACTCTCTTTCGGTTACCATGTTTAACTCATGGGGTGTCCCATGTCTGTGCCCCTGTTTAAGAAATCAAACATGTAAAGTTGGAACTTCTATTAATAGTAGATTTAAATAGAGATTGAGGATTGGCAGTACAAGTCACTTCAAGGTGTCCTAAATGATAACTTTCCAGTCCATTTTAAAATAAAATTCAAATTTTTAATTCGGTACAGTACATCACTTATATATGCATTTGGTGTCCTGATTAGATAAGTGTTCAGCAAACTAGGGACTATGAAAGTTTAAGATTTAATGCTACACACTGTGGAGTTCATTGTCAAAGGAACTGCGTAGGAATTCCAAACCCTCCCACCGTAAGTTTTTCTGGTGATGGTTGTACTCAGAAGCGAACAGGACCTTGAGTTTCAGAATTTGAAAAAGCAAAAAATCGTGTCACTGACAGAATAGACTTATTAATATGTTAAGCTTTAATCCCAAGATTTTGAACTTACTGAAGTTACCGTAGTAGGTAAGAAAAAGGTTACATTCCCCTTAAGTAAAAGGGCTAAAAGGCTTGTGTGAGAACTATATTGCAAGTCTATATGTCCACGACAGAAATACTTAACTTCTCTTGAAATAGTTAAGCAGACTTTTAATTTCAGGTATTTCAAATAAGAAATGATGGTTTCTGACTTTTTGCCTTTGGTGTTGCTATAGTTTAGGCTGCTTAACAGTCCTGACCATCTGGGAATAAGCATCTTTTTAAAAATCTATGGTATAGTAGTTAAGGGCACAGACTCTGGAGTCAGACTAAGTGGGTTCAAATCTCAGCTCTGCCACTTACTAACTCTATATCCTTAGGAAAGACTCTCAACCTCCCTGGTACCTCGTGAATCACATCTGTAAAATGGAGACAGTAATAGTGTCTACCTCACAGAGATGCTTGGAGAATTTAATAAGTTAGCACCATGCCTGGCACATAATAGCACTACATAAATATGCTACTTTTATTTTTCATCATTTCTTCTCATCAGTATAATTAGCGAGCCATGAAATAATGGAAGCTCTGTAGCAACGAAGAAGTGGGGAATGAACAAAGGCTGAAAGATTATAAAAATAATCTCTCCTCTTATTTTATGCCTCTTATTCCCTAGCACCTATTAAATTGAAATAATTTATGCTTGCAATTTTTTCTATCAGCAGAAATGATGTTTTAATTTCCATTATGTTAGATTGCAAAATAGGAAGCTCAAAATTACTTAACAAAGAGGATGGACTCCTCCTCTTGAAAATAAGGGATTGTACTAGATGATCTTATATATAGTTCTCTAATGGAATATATATATAAATTTAATACTTCATTGAGGGATTGGAAGGAAATCTATATTCTTGACTCTCAAGTCCATATTAGTGTTGTCCATATACACTTGTTCCTTTGATTGACAGAGGAAACCAAGCCAGGCCGGGCCAGAACAGATTCTTTGTAAGATCCCTAAAATTTGATCCTCCATAAT